ACCAAAGCTAAAGAAACTACGGACAACACTTATTCTTTCTCAGTTTTTCACTTTCAAACTTTCTCTCAGCCTTTCACCTTTGCCTTTCTCCTAAGCTAGTAGCCCTAAATTCCTTTGCCACCACCTGCTGCTTGCTAATTTGCTAGAGTTGTTGTCGGATTACATAGTCTACATTGTTGCTGGACTGTTGCTAGACTATAGTAGTATTGCCAAATCTACCTTGCTTTTGGATTGCTTTTGAACCATTGCTATCAAAGCCATTTGTTGATCTATTGGAGCTGCTATTGAACTAAACAATCAACACTGTTGCTGGACTATTGCCAAATTTGCCCTATTTGGAGAATTTATATTTGATTTTATGTTTGGAGAACTTTAATTAATTGTGCTTGAACTTGTAGAACTTTATTCATTGTGTTTGGATTTTAGTTGACTATATTTGAAGAATTAAAGTTACATTTTAGCAAATATTAGTAAGGAATGGGGATCTCCATCCCCACAGAGAATTGGGATGGAGGGCAAATTTTCCCCTCGTCAAAAATTCTTGCAAGGATCCCTGTCTCCTTATTTGCAAGGATTGGAACAAGGAGACACTCTCTGGTCTTGCAAGGCCTTGTTGTTACCCTAATGAGCAATAAGAAGAAGAAGAAAAAAAAAATGTGCTTTTTGGTTTTTGTAACAATTGTTTGATTCAAGTCATAGCATATTGAAGATGTGAGAGAGATTTCTATTGTACATCTTCATCTTAGAGGTGCCTTGATTATATTCTACCAATGTCTATGCTTGAAGCCAACATGTGAATTATTCGCCTTTCTTTTATATTATTTTGTGTGATACTTCGTAGTTGGGTCTACTTCTAATTTCCTCTTCATCTTCACCTTTGTTGTGTTGTTTTTTTTTTTTACTAACTTTTCGATATCCGTAATCACATTAGGTCTCAACTAATCCGTAATCACATTAGGTCTCAACTAATCCGAAATGGAGTCACGTCGGACTCCATTTGGGGGAAAGCTTTCCCAGTGCTTGTTTCTCCATTCACAATACTCAAACTCGAAATCTTACTTAAAGAGAACCGAGTTCCTTCCACTCGAACCAACAGGTCGTTGGTACCTTTGTTGTGTTGTAGGTACATAGATTATTTGCTTGGATGATTAATATGTTGCCCGATCAGGGTCAGGGTCAACTGTGTAAGTGTGTAGATACAAGTCTGGGTTTGTAAAGTTAAATTATTTGATAAGTTTATTATTTTCAATTTAAATTGTATTAAATTGTAAATTAAAAATTTTTAAGCAAAAAAAGCTTTAATATTAGAGAATCTGTCTCTTATTTTAAAACTTTACATTTTGTAATCAATATAATGTAAAACAATTTTTTATTATTTTACAATATGAAAAAATTGTATATCAATCTTGACTTCCAAAAATAATTGAAGTCTCAATCTTAAATTGCACTATTTGATTTAATTAAAACTCAATTTAAAATTTTAAAAACTATCTTATTAAATGTTGATATATTAGAATATAAATGGTTTTACAAATTTAGATATTAACATTTAATATGATAAGATTTCAATTTCCAAATATATATTGAAACTCTAATTATTTTTTTGAGTTGAAACTGATACGTACTAATATCTTAGAATATATGTAGATGTGACATAGCTTGGCTGTATATAATAGCTGAGTTAAAAAAATAAGGTGTGATCTAGTTATATATAAATTTTATATATTATATTTATATAAAATTTTGATAATTTATCTCTTTATTTTTAATAATTAAAATGTGTTATAATTTTTTAGATAAAAAATAATTATTTTTAATAAATATAAATAAATATCAATCATTAAAAATAAAAATAAAAATAATTAAAATATCAATTACACAACAAGTGGATTTCTCCTATATATAAGTGGGGATCCATTTACACAACAAGTTTTACATATTATAGTTATAAAAAATATCAATTATTCATCTATTCATTTTTAATAGTTGAAATTTATTTATATTTATTAAAGATTAATTCTAAAAGTCGTGATAAATCTCAATTATTGAAAGTAGAGAAATTAATTATTAAGCTTTTATATAAGTGTAGTATATAAAATTTGTGTGTAAGTAGTCTCTCTTATGTATTAATCATTCATCTCTTCACTTTTAATGATTAAGATCATTCATCTCTTCACTTTTAATAATTAAAATTTATTAAAGCTTTTTAGATTTAGATAAAAAATAATTATATTTAATAAATGTAAATA